CTTTAACACATTGTGAACCACTTTTCTTTCACGACTATAAAAAGATTTTAGCAATTTCATTCACAAAATCAATTGCGCACATTTAAAATAAAGTTTGTTTACACTTTGACAGCAATAGACTGACATGCAAGGAGACATGTCAATGAAGTTTTTAGTTACTGTTGCCATTAAAAGAAATTAGTACAATTAGTTTTCCGCAACATGGCGAGGGTTTTTATGTTCCTGGTCAGGCTATAATGCGAATACTTTGTATAGCCTGCACCCCGATTACGGTAACTTTTAACGTCTACAATCCAGACGCGTTTCTGATTCTGCAATACGATTGGTCAAAACAGCTGACGTACGCTGTTGAACGACCAATCGTATCGCAGAATCGAGAAGCGTGTCTGGATTGTTGACGTTATAAGTTACCGTAATCGGGGCTCAGACCAGGAACATAAAAACCCTCGCCATGTTGCGGAAAACTAATGGTACTAATTTCTTTTAATGGCAACAGTAACTGAAAACTTCATTGACATGTCACCTTGCATGTCAGTTTATTGCTGTCAAAGTGTAAACAAACTTTATTTTAAATGTGCGCAATTGGTTTTATGAATTAAATTGCTAAAATATTTTTATAGTCGTGAAAGAAAAGTGGTTCACAATGTGTGAAAGTATTTGTCGAAGAGAAATACTAAGGGTTCGGACAATATTTTCATTGATAATGTTCCGACAAAGGTTGTCAAATTGACTGACATGTTTGTCGTATAGTACAGTCCACTATAAAAATTAGCTGTGGTTTGTTTCAACTACCTATTTTAATTTTTTTTGTCACTTTCTAAGTGTTGAATTTTATGGGATTGGAAAGAAGTACCGAGTTTGAAGCGTTCATGAGCAGACATTGCAGTTGAATATTCAAGTTCTGAATTTGATTATTGATGAATAATAAAATAAATTCTACTAGTTCGATTGATGGTTTCATTTAATTTATTTAAATCAGGTTACCTATAGGATAATATTTTTTCGTTAATTTATGAAAATATCAAATTAGCCCGTAATCCTGAATCCTGATACATAAAGTTAGCCTATTAATTTATCACAGGTACGACTGTACTCAGTGTTGCACTATCAAATGCAATTGACGCGCCTCTGTGCCAGGGTTTTTATGTTCCTGGTCAGGCTATACTTTGTATTGGTGGCCATCAAAAATATTGTATACACTTGTCGCTCGGCGCCCCGATTGCGCTAATTTGAAATGTCTCCAATGCTTTTGCGCTCCATCTCTAGTCCACACTCCAATTTCATTCGTGTTCGTGAAGTTCGTGAAGCGTTTGACTTGCGTTTCAGATAGAGCTTTCTGGCAGCTTTTACACAAAGATGGTTTTATTAATCTAAGCAAAGATGCAATTTTGCAAAAAATTGCGTTTTACGTTAGGGGGCGTCCATAAATTACGTGAGNTTCAAATCGGTCCAGTAGTTCCTGAGATTAGCGCGTTCAACCAAACAAACAAACAAACAAACAAACTCTTCAGCTTTATAATATTAGTATAGATTCTTGACATTCTCTCGCTGAAGCTGCGACCGGAGTATTTAAGACGGGAGACTACAGACTTTTGTCCGATGATAGTTTAATCGGGCAGTTTATCAGTATGAAAGTACGCACTCTACACTAACTTGGTATCGACCGATTTCTCATACAAATTGGCAGCAACACGCAACTATCGCCCGACTAAAAGACTCTGGTCTGCGGCTAGGCTTAACCTGCATATAGTTCATTTAACTTTGATGACGTAACGTCATGCTCGCCCTCACCCCTGAAAAGACATTGCCGGAAATTGGCGTCTTTTTTTTTCGCGCGGCTATCGACCTAATCTTCTTTTTGATTACAAAATAGTGTAATAAACCAAACTTAATATGACATGCGTATACCTCTAAACTCAGTCTGAACTGAGTTACGAGCATTAGAAGTTTGATGATTTTACATACTAGATTTGCTTTTTGCGCGCAAGTTTTATAAGAAATTGCAACAAAATAGTGACATTGTATGTGTAAACAAACAATACCATCCATTAAAGGCTCCAGACATCAGTATGGAGCAGAATCAGCGCAATAATGATAACGCAATACAGGGTGGAAACGATAAGTGATCTCATTCGATTATTTCTTAACTATACAAGATATCGAGAAAGTGGTTACTGATCCTGAAAGTGCTTCACGAGCTCTATCCAACGGTACCAATAATAGGTTACAGAATTAACTGAATCTATCCGAAAATTAAATGTTTTCAGCCTCCATACTAAATGTATGCCAGCCAAACAATATTTGAAATGTTTTTTTTTAATTAAATAATAAACACTTAAAATGAACTCGCAAATTGCATTCTTATTTAAAATTATTCATGGACAACGTTGGTTTTAGGCTTTACTTGCTATAATATTATCAAGACATGAGTGCCTTGACTGTGGCTGTACTAAATGTATGGAAGATGGAAACATTGAATTTTCGGATGGATCCAGTTTATTTTATAACCTATTATTGGTATCGTTGGATAGAGCTCGTGAAGCACTTTCAGGATCAGTAACCAGTTTTTGAATATTTTGTATAGTTTTTAATATTATGTGGTTTTACTAAATGTATGGAAGCTGGAAACATTGAATTTTCGGATAGATTCAGTTAATTATGTAACTTATTATTGGTACCGTTTGAAAGAGCTTGTGAAGCACTATCAGAATCAGTAATCAGTTTTTCGATATCTTGTATAGTTTAGAAATAATCGACTGAGATCACTTAACGTTTCCACCCTGTATATTGGTCGATGGCCGCGCGAAAAAAAAAGGCGCCACAGTCCATACGAAATCTGGCATTGCCATTTGTCTTTCGTCGGCCGCAGGTGGTGGAGGGCGTGTACAGCATGGAAGGCTCGGTGGCGCCGCTGGCGGCCATCGTGGCGCTGAAGAAGCGGCTGGGGCTGCAGCTGTACCTGGACGAGGCTCACTCCATCGGCGCCATGGGCGCGCGCGGCCGCGGCGTGTGCGAGCTGGCCGGCGTGGACCCGCGCGACGTCGACGTTCTCATGGGCACCTTCACCAAGAGCTTCGGCGCCGCCGGCGGCTACGTCGCAGGTCGGTAGCGTGCCTTCGCTTGATTACTATTTCCAAACGACGTAAAGCCTGGTCCGTGAGCACGTAGAATCCCGTCCAATGACCCCAAGCTGCCCATCCTTGTCGCTCGCANTTACCTACATACGTAGGTCATTACAAATAAGTAGATTAATTATTTTTTCACTAGACAGCAACCCTAACAGCGTAATAAGAGTTCAGAGGCACGCGATAGAAAGAGACAAAACTTGTAGGTGAATAAAATTGTAGGTACGTAGTGCTGTGCGAGCTGAATTCCACTGTATCGCGTCGTAGCAAGACTCGCATTTATTTAAATCGTCTTGCGGAGTAATCCTTCTGTACCTGTACTATTACTTATTCTGTGCCGATAGTTGTGCCCGATGTTAATTTGTATGAAGAATCGGCCAAATCGAATCAGCGTAGTGTACGCACTCCCATACATGCCCATACTGATCAACTGCCCGACTAAACTATCGGCCGACGAAAAATCAACGGTGTGCGCCTACTCTAAATAATCATGTGATCTCCACCAATCTTGATATAATATGTATATTTATAATCTGTAAGGCCTCTCATTTCCATCGGGCACTCTGGGCATATGCACAGGACCTTATAGTAAAATAGAATGCCTATACTTAAATGACTGTGANTACTCGAAGCATAGACATTGCAAAATAGGCATTTTATTAAATATCACGTGAGATTAGGGGGGTGGGGGAGGGGGTCAGGCAAAATCTCACCAAATCTCACCAAGGGGGGCGGGGGGGTTGAAAAATGGCCAAAATTGTCTCACGTAATTTATGGACGCCCCCTTACGAGGACAACTTCGTTTCGTCAACTGTCAAAGCGAGACACCGCGATACCGTGGCGATACGAATTTGTGCATACAGCTGAGTGTTGTTCGTCGTCCAGTTGCGTTGCAGTTGAAAATATTTAGCGCAATCGGGGCGTACCTAGTGTGATGCCGCTTTTACATTATGCGGAAATTAGCCAATTAAAAATAATGATTTCTGTCATTGAGTTTGGTGGGACAGTTCAACGTGGGTCATCTATATTATTGTATTTTTATAAAAGCGGCATGTGACAGGACTAGGAGTGTTCGCCTCAACTTTTTATAAGAAAGCGCCATCTGTCTGCGTCTATCCGCTAGCTGCAGTAAATTTGACATTTTAGGCTCATTTAAGTTTGTGGGTGGTCGGCAAAACAGCTTCTTTTACCACAGGACATCAAGCACTTCAAGTGCTTTAAAAAAATTACTAAATTTTTAACATACGATTTAACAGCGCTGCATGAAGTCGCTTAAATCGCGTGAAATTAATTCAACACTCCTCCTCTCCCTCACCTCACTTCACCACAAGGAAAGGATGGCGGCGATTGTGGAAAACGGCAGCGT